ACTCTATCGCTGTAGTAGCTTTAAGCATATTCTGCATGAAGTTCAAGCCAATAACCTCAGCTCTCCACTTTGATTTTTCTTATTTAGTGTGTGCTATTACCTCTCAGATCAATGCCCGTCTAGACGTCAAGGCACGCTTTCCACATCTATTTGCGCGTGTGTCTCCGTGTGCTGGTAGATTGGTATTCGCAATGTCATCAGTGCAGTATAAATCAGAATATATGAATTACATGTTACTGTATATGAGTCACGAATTCAGAGGAGCCTTGTTATTTTCCAGACCACGGGGACATTTACCGTGCTCCCTGCCTGCATGCCTCCATCTTCCCAGCTCTCTTTTTCTGATTCACATCTCCAATCCTCCAGTTCACAAGCCTCTGAAAAGGATGTACTGCAGTAGGGCTGTGTGAGTGTGAAGTGGTGCAAGAAAGCACGGTCGGCTCAGAGAACTAGGGTCTGAATGATAATTCAGCCAGCTGAGTTTTTTGGGATTAGTTTTCTGTATCATGCACAGTAGGAGCTTTGACAGGGGATGAGGCACTGTTAACAAAATGACTAAAAGGCATGGCCCTTGTTAATCTATCCAGATGGCATTGTATCCGGACTTAAAACCGAATTCCGGCTTCTATTTTAAGCGGCGCAGCTTTTAGCTTTTCTAGCCTTTACGGCACTCGTTCAGCGGTGCAGGAAACACACCGACCAATTCCACGCGTAGTAAGTCACATCACGTGATGCTGCTCAGCCAGTCAAATGTGTATTCTGACAAATTTCACGACTCGAGTGAGATTTAAAGGGGGAGAGATGAGGAAAAAGAACGAAGAGTGGGAGAATTACGTGAGTCAGAGAAGTTATTTCACATGACGTTCTCCAAAAGGAGAAAAGTGGCCAGAGAGACCAGAGTCTTTAACCAAGAATGGACAGACTCTTTCAGGTTATTCTTCACACGGACAGTTTAAAACCAGTATGCCTCATATGTTCAGAGACCGTGGTGATAAATAAAAGCGGTAATGTGAAGCGCCACTACGAGACAAAGCATAACTCTTTTTAGCAAACTTACCCACTCAAATCCGAAATGAAGTCACAGATAATAAACTACCCAAGAGCCCAATAGATCAGAATCCGAACACATTAATTCACTAGAGGAACAGAGCTGAAACAAGTGGTTTTTAATAACCACAGACAAAGTCCCTGCACACACATTTCTCTTATTAGAAGATGAGGAAAATATAATATTGAGTTTTTTGATTGACATCACTTCACACTGGAATTAAGTGACTTTAAAGCTGCAGGACAATTCAGTTAAATTCCATTTTTCTAAAAATTAAGTAGTTTATTTTAAGATGCACATTTTCAAAAGCCTTCTGTTTTGTAATTTATTCTTTAATCCAGCCCTTGTATTTAGTTTGTATTATTTATAATTCATCCAGTTCAATTTGAAATCTGATAGTAAATATTGTTGAGATATTTTGTCAACTGAACATTCTTTATTTGATTTGACAGTCACTTGTTGACTACATACAGACGTTAATACAACTGTAGGCTAATTCAATAAATATGGCACTAAATCATAACGCCAGTTTGACATTATTGTGATGTTCCTTTGCATGAGGACATTCTCTCTAACTGGACCTCGTTGAACTTTAATTGAATACCCCAGGGCTATTATTTATGCCTCTATGATGGATGAGGCTGAAGACATCATTTGTCCAAGTTTAAATTCACAGATTTGTTCATTTAAGCTTGGACAAACTTAATTCCGTTCTAGCTTTCTGAAAGATAACATAACACCTCACACAATGTCGCTGTCAAGCTGCCCTATGCTTGCCTCCACACAGGCCAAAGAGGGTGGCATGTTGGTGAGAGATTTCAACCCCAATACCAATCAGATGTCTATCAGGATATTGACTTTTCTGATACAATTCTACATTTGACAAAAAGTCACTCTCCCTCTGTGTGTGTTGTTATCAGAGCTTCTCCTTCTTTGTTTACATAGGTGGGCCGGTCGAGGTGCTTTCAGTGCATGTTAGTGCCTGTGGGTGTGCCCCACTGGTTTGCTCACATTGCCACACCGCATTGCTCTCATACAAGCGTAGCACCCATCCTCAAGTTCCCCCTCAGGTAAACACTGTTAGGGCTGTTAACAGCGTTGACATGTTGAGATGCAATCAACATGCTCTCGATCTGGGATCTGGCACCTTTTAATTCCAGTGAGTGTAGCACAGGCATGTGTTTCCAAGTGGCAGCTACACTGCACAGCCTCAGCTCGTCGGCAGACACTTTCAGATGTTCGCGAACAGGTGAAGATGGACATTTTTGTGAAGCAGATTCATTTCTTCTAACAGCGTTCGGATGATTAGGAGATATTTTCTATGTGCATTCAGTGAAAGATATGAACTTACGTCTTTTTAGACTCACCCCCCCGCCCCTGCAATACTAGCTGTCAGAAATTACAGCCTACCATTGATCCAACAGCGTCGTGTGTCAGAATAATATCAGACAGTGAGGGGAGACGTGCCCAAAGTGAAGTGAGGAGAAAAACACAGAGCGATGGAGTAAATGTACATATCAAGACAGGGTTTTACACCAAAGAGAAAACACGAGAGGGGAAATCAAACTGATTTTCGTGTGACAAAATTGAATTTCCAATTTCCTCCAGAGTGCTTTCTGCTTCCCCGGAGTAGGTGAGATATCTATCCAAACACACTCAAAGCTCCACCTGAATTATGTGGAATTTGGACAACGGAGGGGCAAAGTTTGGTCATCTCTCGCTTTTTCTTTCTTCGTCTTTGTTTTGTTGTGTAAATCTCTCTCTTTCTCTCTCTGTCAGACATAGACAGCACACATATGCTGTACATGCTGTCTCCAAAAAAAAAAAATACATATATATATATATATATATATATATATATATATACTGCATGACAGATGGAAGGGACATGTGACATGCCGGAGCCATATTTATGAGAATGTGCTGAAGTGGCTGGGCTTAAATCTCTTCAGACCTAGACGACAGTTGAGAACTTATGCCTTCTGCAGCTCCATCTGGCTCTGCTGACTGAAGAAGTATTACTTTTTCTCTCTATTTTATTAAAAGAGATGCTGCACTGCGGCTGGACTACTGCTTAAATCCCAGAGGACATTTTCGAAAAATCCAGCACACTAATGAATGATGGCGGTGTGAGGGGGGGATAGATACTTGTAGATACAAAATAAAGACAACATGGCACTTCGGGCTTATACAGCTGTTAGGTGGCCACATCTTTCATGGATTGTGACACCACTCATACTTCAAAAAGGACTTTTGAAAGAAAGATTTTGTGTGTTTTGAGTTGCTGTAGAACACAAATGAGCTGGCACAGCAGAGGAAAAAGAAGGAGAAAACACTAATGTCAGGGAGGTCTTTGTCACAGCGGTAATACTTCATGAAGAGAAGATAAACTGGAAAATCCTCAGCCGTCACGTTTCTTTTTTCTAAAGCTTTTATAATCCTGTTGTGTGGGAAGATACATTAAAACACTCATGATGGACTGTTTTATTAAAACAAAAAGAGTCAAAATCAATGTTTTTCACTAAGTCCACACAACTCCACACCCCAGATATTTCATTTTCAGACTTGTAGTCTTTAGCCCCAACCCACGCTGACGCAAGTGACATCACTTGAGGCAAGTTATCAGACTTCACGCAGCCCCCTCTGGTGCCACAAAAGGCTTCGTACAACGGCTTCGTAGATCTCAAGAAACTCAAACTCCGGCTCCAACCGGTTAACCAGGTACTAACAGAAAACCCTCTCCATATCTCTGCATCAAAACAAATGGAAATCTGACAGGAACAGGTGTGCAATCAGCTCTGTCCAGACAGCTCCCAATGAGAATCAACTGAAAATGAAGTGTCCGGACAAACTCAGTGTGGCCGCTACCTAAGGTGCTCATCAAATCAGCTGTGTGAGTGAAATAATCAAACTTGACTCCAGCGTGAATCTGCTCCACATACAGAGACAGCAGACTTGGGTCTCAGGTCTTGTTGACTTTGAAGGACTTAATAATAACTCCAAGAGTTTATCGACGATGGAAAATAAAGTGATCTGAGATTTATTGAGGCCACAAACAGGCTGACAATTTGGCTGCGTGTGCCTACTTTGAAGGCATTCAACTGCACACCAACACCAGCCTGTTAGTGGTTGTAATAAATCTCGGCTGCCGACGGATGGAGGAGTACTGCTGTTGTTTTGTTTTTCTTTTTCATGGATCTTTTGAAAAATCCTTGCGATAACATCCTTGAAAAGGCTCACTATCAAAGATGAGAAAGACAAGCATACATCTCTTCAAACATTCAATCTCTCAATCGGCTCAGAGAAGCAGCACCAACAGTGCTCGCTGCATTGATTACACTACATCTCATTTCACCGTACTTTTAATCAATTACACCTCTATCAAACAGTTTACTGTAGCTCGGGGAGCGGCTCATCAGACCGGTTAGCCGCCATGGTTCCAGCAGTTCCGGATGGGAGGTTTTCAGCCGGGCTTGTTGGACACCACCAGAGCCGGCGGATGAGTGTGTACCACCTCAATTAAACTGTGCGCTAAGTGTCTGACAACAGCTAATATTCCTCTTCCACCAGCGAACCCAATCGATGTTCTGGCATTCGTCACACTGCTGAAAAAGCAATCATCCCGTTGTCTCGCTCCGGTTAGACGGGGGAAATGGAGAGACTCTCATCTGGCTTCTGCGCTTAATCTCACAAAGGGCACACACATGTGGGTGGCATACGACACACACACACACATACTGTATATACACACTTTCTTCACTCTACTCACTGGCAAGCATTGATGACATGTTGAGAGAGAGTAGATGTACCACAAAACAAAAATGGCAGTGACACATGTAAGGCTTGTGACAATAAGCTGTCCAGCAAAGAGCCACACTCCACTTGGAACACAGCGTGACACAACGCGCCCACACACACACACACACATTTGACGTTTGTCAAGTCAACCCACCTCTCTGTCAAGCAACTTGTCGGAGATGACGGTGACAATGTCGCCCCTTTCCGCATCGATGTAGAACATGTTCGGGGACGGCTTGTCCGGCAACTGCCTGACGATGTTGTAGCGCAACGCTGCGTTATTGGTGGCGGGGTCGTCTGCGTCGAACGCCGTCATCGTCATCACCGTGGTACCTGGAGGAGACAGTGACAGACGGGGGGTTGAGTCTGAACTCAAACATACTTTTCATTTGAAACATGTGAGAGAGGGGGCCAAACGCTGGTGTGGATATCGCATTTTAGAAGACTGAAAAACACACTTTTAGAAGATGCAGCAGGAGTTGCTTTTGGATTCTGGAGATTGATGAGCGTTATTCATTGTGTTACCCAAACACAATTTAAAAAAGCTCCCCGAAACACTGTTTTGGAATGAAATGAAACAGGTTGACATCAGACTCTTTCTAAAGGTGTGCACATTTTGACATTTTCTATTTCAAAGCTTTACATTCCTACACTATAGATGCACGTTTTAAGCTACAAAGACACATGCTCATGCTAACACAGACAGGTTTGTTTTCTACATGATATTTCTTATCAATGTGTATTATGTTATGCATCTAAAATGAGAGCAATCATAGCAGCAGATGTTTGAAAAGAGCAATTTCAAACTACTGATAGCCGCTTAAAAAGTTAGCCTTTCCCAATTATGTGTTTTCTCCCCGGTGTCAGCTCGAACAGCATGGCGCATTTGGTTTGGTAATGGGAACAAAAATGGAAATCTCGCCCGCCGCAGCTGAGCTGAAATGGGAGGCAATCCTTGACACACCCTTAACCCTCAATCTCTCCCTCCTGTCAGGGACGAGACTCTCACACAGATTCAGCGGGACACACTCGATCCACGCATACAGAAATGTGCACATGCAAATGCACGGACGCGCGCCTCGCCCGCACACACACACTTTAGGTTGTGTCACTTCTGAGTGGTGTTTTCCATTTCTCCATTGCGGGCAGATGTGTCTATAAACTGCATCTCCGTCCAGTGCTTCATGTTATTGCTGTCACCCGCTTTCAGTCAGCTCACCTCTGGTTAAAACATCACCGCCTGAATACCTCCTCCATTTGTTTAGGCTTTAAGTTTGACTCGCTCTCAGAGAGATACGTGACTGCATTCTGATGAGACGGTGTGCTTCCGATACAGATGGATACTTCTGAAATGTAGAACTGATGTGTGTGTGTATGTGTGAAATTTGAAGTAATTTTTTTTTTAAATGACGCTTTTTTTTTTCAAAACAGTATCAAAGTATTGTCAGTAGATTTGGTCATACGTCTAAAATGACACAACTAATCAATGTAGATGATTCTGCTTTCATTTTGTTTTTTTGAATCAATATTCGAGTGGGCAATTAGTTTATGAAAGTCCTGCCTGTGTTACCTCACATGAAGCTGATTCATTTGTGAAATACTTAAGCCCACTGCAGTTCCATGTGGTTTCTGACAAACTCCTGGTTCTTATTTGACCCACATAACTTAACGAAACATTCTCCTAAGCACCAAATAACAGCACTGCGTTGCATGGCTCATAAACATCGATCTCTTTCCATGCTTCTCTTTAATACCCGGTAGTACTTTGCCACAGTGCATTAGCCAAACTATTCAAATAAGACACAAAAGGGCTACTGGAAAATATGCAAAGTCTACATTAAATAATAATGGCTTAGTTCCAAACGTTTTTAGTCCAGTTGAAGGTAATGAGGGGCAGAGAGGTGTGGGTTTTATCCTCTTGGCATTTGCACTTCAAGGTGAACCACTAATGGTTAAGTAAACCAGTAATCCTTCCTCTGCAGAATAATTACACAGTCCCATCTCCCCCATTACCTTTACTCTGTTCCACTTCACACCTCAGAAGCCACACTGTCAGAGATGACTCAGTGAGCCTGTGCACAAACCGTTTTGCACACAGACACACCAACCAGCAGCAAATTAGTGTTAAAATATGATGACTAAATTGATTATCTTGAACAGATCTCAATGAATTATATCCTCATTCCGCTGGCTAACCAAGGACTCTTGAATGCAACGCAATCATATTACATGTTTTATGTGATATTGGAGAATGGCCATCTTGATCCTCACTGTCTTCATCAGATACCATAATTCCACTCACAAATGAGTATCATGTAACCAATAAGCATTCCGTCAGTCCAGAATACAAGTATCAGCATAAATCAGCTTACATGATAAACATCTAGTGTGCTGTAATGGGACAATGGGGCCGGGTGTAACTTACACTGATGTCTGTTGTGTTTAATCATAACATGACATCGTGCAGGTGGCCTCGGCGAGGACTCGTTGCCCTGTCCTATCAGCTTCAGCCTCTGGCGGGAGCCGAGGTCCAATCAATCTTAACTGCATTGGATGGTTATATGGTGAGATGGATGTGAATGCGCAGGACCGCCATTACCTCGCCATCACTTGGACCCATCTGCCGTGCGGCTGGATGACACCAGCTCAGACCGGATGAGGAGAAAAGTGATGCGATCGCGATGGAGACGGCAGAGAGAGTCTGCAGACACACTGTCTGTCGAGTTACCGTGTAATGCGTTGCACGTGTGCGGTGCTCAATCAACAGAGAGAGGAAGATAGAGAGAGACAGAGAGCAGGACTATGAGGTAAAAACATCACTGATTCACACAGAAAAAGAAAGCGCTCACAGAGACACATGTTGTGGATTGATTTCGTCACACGGGCTGGTGAGACACGGCGCTCTTGCCTCCAGCTAACTCCTATATCTTTCTCAAACACCAAGGGAAATCAGTGGGGGGGGGGGGGGCAGATCTGTGGGTGCCACCAGGGAACTGACACAGTGTGGAGAGCCAAGATGAAGCAAGAGAGCGCAGTTGATTTTTTTTGGTGTTTTCTTTTTTAAACAAGGATAAATGTGATGCTAGAATGTGTCTGAGTCTATGTGTGTGTTGTGTGTGCACATGCACTGTCTAAGCGTCAGAGATCCACATGAGTTTGCGTGATTGTAATTTTATTTAAAATTATTCAGAATGTACGCTGGATGTTCAAAAAGCTGAAATGGGATTTCTATTAATCAGACTCGAATGGCTGAGAGAGTAAGAGCTGACCCACTCTATTCTCAGGTGTGGATGAGATCAAAGGGAGATCAAAGATGAATCCTCTTATCCAGTACCGACACAGTTGAGATTGTACACGACTATGAATTACACGCGTATAAGTAGCAGAACGCAGTGGTAGATGGAGACAGATAGAAACTTGAAATCTACAAAAATAGTGGAAAACGCCACCACTAAACATTTGGTTAACCTGCAACTGATTTCTCATGATTTTTTTGGGCCCTTAACAGTCACATTATCTCCGTCCATATTTACTATGTAGTCAGGCTACAGACTCAGAGGTTCTGAGTAATGAAAAGTAATATTAGATTACTATTAGATCACAACGAGAAACGTTGCAACAGGGGCGGCTGCTTCAAAAACGCCTCTTGGCAAAGCGAGTGGGGCAAAACAGCTGATGAGCTTGTTGAGCGAGGTTGTGTGTGAAACCAGGCGATAAAATGACATCGAGCTCTTGGTGTTGCTCTGCTGTTGAATGAAGAGAAGGGGAGACATAATATAATTTAGTTTAGTGTAATTAAAAAAAACGCTAATATCATTGTCCGTTCCTGCCATATCTACCGGAGTCAAAACAGGAAGTGGCTGCCTGATTGTGCGACTCCACGCCTGGCTCTGAAAAGTTGAGAATATTTGAAGTTTTATGGGCGTCCAAAAAACTGTCAATAAACTCAAATCAAACTAGACTCAACCGGTCCTCTAAAAACAAGTGTCCAGTGGCTTTGAACAACGAAGTCATTTTACAGGACTTCTCAGTTCCGCAGCACGCTCAGACTAGGAATGCAAGAACTGTTTTATTTTTCACAGGATTTAACCTCGCTTCTCTCCTCAGATTTTCACTTATATCTGGTTATATTTTTTCAGAAATCACAAACAAGAAAACAACTTAAATTTAGTTTCGTCCTTGCCGCCAACAAGACTCTACTTCGCTGGGAGGAGGCGGGTTAGCGGTTAGCTGTAGCAACTAGCATTCAGCCAGAGCAAACCACAGCGCCGGGAGTCACAGCGGGCAGTGGCCAGCAGCAGCACTGGGTCTATTACGGCTGCAGGAGAAAGTTTGATGATCCTGCAGGAAATCAGGGCAGTCCCCCGGGATCGAACCCCCAGTGCTGCAGTTTGCAATTGCTGAATTTGTGTTAATACAAGTCCACTCACTGAAGGTTGGTCTCCTGAAGATGCCCCCACTAAATAAATTACTAGTTTCTGCTGCTTTTGGATTTAATCCAATAAACAAACTACCGAAACGTTCATGGACCTCACAGCCCCCCGGTAGTGGCAGAGTAAAAACACAAACTAGGCCGACGCCAAGAAAAGAGCAGGGTTATTTTTATCTGATCTCCAGGTTTCAACTGCTTGGTTGAATTTTGCATAAAAGAGAATAACTAAATGTTGTTTGCTTGGACAACAAAAGCTTCAAAGCACTTTTCATCACAATACATTGTAACAGTGACATATCCATCTATTTCCACTCATGTCTAAAAGGAGTCTCCTTGTTACACGCAGCAGTCCTGTCTTTTAAGTGGTAAGGTGTATATTGGTGATGCAGCGTTCAGCAGCCGGGCTCTCTCTGTGACTGAATGCTGCATTGTACTCGGCCTGTCTGCGCTGTTTGCCTGCCTATTGTAAACAATACACCACTCTTCAAGTGTTTTGAATCCCAATCGTCTGTTTGCCTCTGTGTCTTTTGTTAAAGCTGTCATTTCAAAGAGATGATTCGAAAGACCGGTTTCTTTTTAGATCAAATCCCGTCATGCTTGCACTGGCAGTGGCTGTTGTGTATAATCTGCAGTAGCGCTCTTTAAACCTTTCCAAATTTTAATTATTTTCATTTTTTCTTTCATTTTATTTTACCTTTTACTTGTATGCACCAAACTACAAAGTGAATGTTTGATAGTCTGGTATATTAGTACGCAGGCCTCCTCGATGCTTCCCTTGTAGCCTCTTCCTTTCCTGTCAGAACACATTTCATTTCTCCAGCACGTTAAACTGATTTGTATACCATCATCTCTTAAGGTACTACCAGCATATACACTGGACTGGATAAGCTATGTTCTTAAG